TATATAAATAATATATAAAAATAAAATTTAGTTTAAGCACGCGCGCGGAGGGGATCATATTTGGTATTCCCTTACTTGTGTTCCCTTGCTCTATTATTTAAAATCATTTCCTATATGATGTCAGTTTAATAAGTGTACACATTATTAATATAATTGCATTTGACTCTAATCAAATAGAATGTAACTACGTATATAAAAATTATGTTAACTAAATTTTTCTATAAATTATGCCGACCACGCTCATTAGACAGATCAATTAACACGATGCGTAAGTGGCATTTATTTTAAAGTGGTGTTTTAAGTTAGCACCCCAACTATAGTTATACTTTTTATCGAATTTCGAGGTGGAATAGTTCTGAGCGAATTAATACCTTCAATTTGCGATTGCCTAGAGTTCCTGATATGTGAAAAAAATTTTGGAATATTAAAAAAAAAATTAAAAATTTTTGAAGAATTAATTTTTAGATACAATAGTTCTGATGATAATTACTGCTTCTTTTTGACGATACGAAGAGTTGTCTATGATTTTTAATGACATATGCGCTTAATAATCATATTTTAATAATTTTTTAAAAATGGGGTGCTAACTTTTTAACGAAATTCAAGGTCGCATAGTTCTGATCAGCTTAACACGACTATTTTGTGAATACCTAAAGTTCTTGACACATAAAAAACATTTTTGATGAATAATAAAATTTAAAAAAAGTAGTAGAAATCTTTAATAAATTTTTTGAGAGTACCAAATAGTTCTGAGTAGCGTTTCTTATAGTTCTCGACGAGACCTATCGAAAACTATTAGGTGCAAAAATGATTGAACCAACGGTTTGCAAGATACAACGACATTTGCCAGAAGATCAACAATTTTTAGTGAGTAAGGTAAATGTACCAGTTCGTGGACACGACCCAATTGTTGGACAAATTGTGACAATTTTAAATATTAAGCTTTTGATGATATATGTTACTCTAAATAAGTTTTTAAGCAATTTTTCATATTATTTAGAAATTAAGTATTATACATGTAATTTATTCATATTAAAAATGATACTTTTGTAAAAAAATTTCGTTTATGGACAATCGTCCATTTATTAGGACATTCACACATATGCGTGTATCAATTATTGGACATTCCTTAGCGTACCTGTCTACTGCAAACATATTTTGTATATATTACATATAATTTATATGATATAAAACTTTATATAAAACTTCACTAATTACAATTCGATAAACTTTTTTGAACAATCTTGATTGATAAGTAAGTAAAATGCGATTCTCTTCTATAATAAGAAAATTGCTTATTATTTGTCTAATAATTGGGTCATACTTTTGTGGACACAGAGACACGTCACATTTTTTGTCCAATAATTAAGACATTTGAATCATATTACATTTATGACTAAATACAATTTATAATAAACGTAAATAACATATTTGATAATGGATTTAGTTTCAGAAAACATCCATTCTTACTAAGCATGTGTAATAAACTAAAATTTTAATGTTTCTAAAGTTTAAATAAATGATTTCGTCGTGCAATTCCTTAACTGTCCAATAACCGGTACATTTACCTTATATCTCAGAAACCGTTGGTCCAATCGCTTTGAGCCCTCAAACTTTTCGACAGAACTCATCGAGAACTGTCCAGAACTCTGAACATAACTACTCGGTACTCTCAAAAAATTTTTGACCTAAGATTTTTTTCCAAGTTCCAGGTCGAAAAATTTTTTGAGAGTACCGAGTAGTTCTGTTCGGACTTCTGGACAGTTCTCGGCGAGTTCTGTCGAAAAGTTTCAGAGCTCAAAGCGATTGGACCAACGGTTTTTGAGATATACTCACTCTAAAAATTGTTGGTCTTCTGACAAATGTCGTTGTATCTTGCAAACCGTTGGTTCAATCGCTTTTGTACCTAATAGTTTTCAATAGGACTCGTCAAGAACTATAAGAAACGTTACTCAGAACTACTCGGTACCATCAAAAATTTTTCAAAGATTTCTACTATTTTTTTAAATTTTATTTTTTTTCAAAGATGTTTGTATTAAGAACTCGAAGTATTCACAAAATAGTTCTGTTAAGCTAATCAGAATTATGCGACCTTGAATTTCGTTAAAAAGTTAGCACCCCATTTTTAAAAAATTTTTAAAAAATGATTATTAAGCGCATATGTCTTTAAAAATCATAGATAACTCTTCGTAACGTCAAAAAGACTTATAAAGACTCTTGAACGTTTTCTTCTTACGAGAAGCAAGTCCATCTCGTGACTGGGTCATGTATGAAAATAACAAATCTTGCGCGGTTTCTGCTGCCAATCTGTAGTCAAGTTCTATTAGCAGGATCAGCTCACAATCTGCTGTCAGATAATGTCAGAAGACTCTGCTCGGTTTTTGCAACCAATCTGCTGCAAAATATGTCAGCAGACGTTGTTAGCAGTTTAGCAGCAGTTTGCTAACAATATCTAATAATACAGACTGGCCCGTATTCAGAACGCACTTTTATCGATAAAAGCGCGCTTTTATCTCTGAAATTCTATAGTATACGTGACGTAAACTATAGCATGTTAGCGCGCTAACATCGTTGTTAGCGCATTCTGAATACGGGCCACTGTCTACAATTTGTTGCCAATCTGTAATCAAAAATTTTCAACAGGCTCTGCACCTAGTCTGTTTTCGCAGGCTTTACTATCAGGACCTTCACATCTTGATAACATATGTCCCCAGAAAGTAAAATGTTAGCAAAATGTCGTCAGACTGATAGCTGATTTGATCAGAAGATGTTAGCAGACTGACCTCAACTGATGTCGCATTCTGTTCCTATTCTGTCGACATAACTTGTTAACATTCTATGCAAACAGATTGGCAGCAGAAATCAAACAGAACCTACTGACAGAATCCGATAGCAGATTGACGACAGAAATCGAGCAGGATCTGCTCACAGAGCCTGACGGTAAACTGACAACAGAAATCGAACAGGATCTGCTCACAAAGCCTGATGATAAACTGACAGCAGAAATCGAACAGTTTGCGCTTAAGAAAGTAATCTGAAGATTTGCCTATATTCAACCTACAATTAATACAGAAAAATTAAATAAGAATTATTAAATTCTAAGTTGAAATAATTATAGACATCTTAATGTGTGTGATAAATTCCATTTCGTAAATTACATGAATTCACATTCTTCATTTTATATTTCAGGTCAATAAAGTAAAAAGATAGCAAAAAGTGACATTCTTATCAATTGTATAAGTAAAATGCTAAGTGTCCTTTGAAACATGAAGAAAATAGTATCATAATTTAAGCTCTAATTTGCAGAACTAAAACATACGATCTGAGTGATGTCAGATAACGTGATTTGCAAATTAGCTTAAACTGTGATACTATCTTTTCATGTTTCAAAGGACAAGAATGACAAGAATGTCACTTTTTGCTATCTTACTTTATTGACCTGAAATATAAAATAAAGAATGCGAACTCATATAATTTAAAATATCAAGCTCTAATAACGAAAAATTTAACTATCGATACCCTACTGTATACGTATAAATCATACTTCTTGTCTTCCTTTCCTTCCTGTCCTTTCCTTTCCTTACCTTTCCTTCCCTTCCTTTAAACCTTTCTGTACTCTTTTTTTGAAGAATAATGTAACATGTCTCCTTTTCTTTCTAACTAAAAATAAAATCAAATACCACACAAAGAATCGATTTAGAAACTACAAAGAATTAAAAAAAATAAATTAATAAAAGTTATAAACTTATCTGATTGCGAGACGATCTTGAACAGCGAAGTAACCTCAGTAACCTCAATCTCAAATTGTATTCACGCGTGTCAACGTCAAAATCTCAACAAATCTCAATGACAACTGCTCACGAAGTAAGCGACGCGAGGGAACCAATCATCATCGCGGAAAAGCGACAACAATAAACTTCGATACATTCGAGTATCGATTTAACATGCCTTTTTTAAGAAAGGATATATAAATATTTTTATTTTTAAAATATGTTTGTGATAAGGTTCAATAAATTTAAGATAATGAAACAGAAAAGGGCTGCGAGCCAAAAGTGTCGTTATAATACAATTGTTAGTAAATAAAAATTGTCATTTACTTAAAATTATGTAGTTTAATTAAAAACAAAGAAATATACGACAAAAAACAACAGATTTTCGATTAGATCATTATCAATGTTACAGAATGATCGTAAGTTGTTAAAAAAGGATTATGTACGAAATTATAAAGTTACAAAATAAAAAAATAAAAAATATATATATATATAATAATATGTGTATGTACACTTTCACTCGCGTAGTTGACGTTGTATTTATTTCGATACATATTTATTTCGTTATATTTTTCTTTTTACATACTTTTACATATTACATTTTTACATATAGGTTCTTACATATTGTCTGAACTTTTACTTTCATACAGTTTACTAAAATAAATTTTTTCTGTATCTCAATTATTATGTAGAAGGTTTAGGCCCTACGCACAATAAAAGAAGTTTTAAGAACAGGAATCAAATGAATATTGGAGAAATTAAACAATTAAAAATAAAATAATACACTATGGATACGAATAATGTATACCTTATTAATTTGTGTCTATTATGCATTATAATAATCTGTATATCCTGAATTTTACTTTTTCAAAATAGTATTTATCTAATATGTTATTTTTGTATATTATAATATTTCTTCTCCATTGTGTGCAAAGCTTTGCAATTTATGTTTTATTATAATGTATATTAATTGCTTGAAACAATTATACTTCAATAAATACGCGAGCGTTTTTATTAATAATGTAAAGCAGCAAACAGAATTTTATTGCAACAGCAAGTGCATTTTCCTTCTCTAGATATATTGCAGTCATTGATATACTTGAGAAATGTCGATTCACCTTTACCCCTTTGCATGAACTAAAGATAACGAAAATATGCATATACAAGAAACGTAGGAAAAACGCATCTGCATGGTAACAACAAAATATTTCCTTATAATCATCATATCTATCGAAGATTTTATATATAAAGTCAATTTCTTGGTGAAATAAGGCAACTAATTGTACATCAAGTTGAGAGTTAAACGACGATAAACACGATCAAAGAACGTTTTTCAAAATGAAGTCTTGCACAGTTTTGTTATTCCTGCTATGTGTACCATTTGTAATGACACAATCACAAGTGAGTACTATGTAAACATTTACAAATAAAAGGTTTAAAAGGATTACCGTTAATGAGATCTAATTTTTCGTTATCTTAAAAAATGTTTGATTCAAAATAAGTTATTTTTCTACTTATATATAAAATTATACATAATTGTATACATATGAGCAATTTTTTTACATCTCTAACCTTGATTTCGACTAAAAAAAAATATAAAAATTATTATTATAATTTTTTAAAAAACGTTCAATAACTTGATTGAGGCAAAGAAGGTAATTTTTACTTCAATGTTGAATAACTTAATGAAAAAAAATTGTACAGAGATCGGAAAAAAGCAAATTAGAAGTAAAGATTTACTTCTTCGAAAGCTGTAAACCGCATTACAATTTTTAATTCGCGCCGTGCAATTTCACAAATTTCTCATAAAATTTTAAGATTTGATGCATCTTCATTTATGTTTGGGTAACTTCGTGAAATATCGGTAAGACCATTTTTTTTTTAAATTAGTAATCTAAAAGATACAGATTTTAAGCTTTAAAATGCATTTCTAAAAATCTCAAAACGATGATTTTTAACGAAATTATTCTATCTCAAAATTTATCTATTTTTGCAGAGTGAAACAGATGATGCTTTAATTTTGTTGAATAGTGTATATAATATATTGTACAGAAAAAATGTTTCACCGGGATTACAATACATATTCATTCTGTTAATATTTTACTTTCAAGTACAATTTCTATCCATACTTTTAAGTATTATCAAGTATACTTGTAGTGTTTTTGTCTTTTTATCGTTATTGCAAAAATTACAATTAATTATATAATCATACATAAAATTTTTATATATCCGTGAAATTTTTTGTAGATTATATGAGTTTGTACAGTACAAAATAGTAAAATATATGATACATTACAATATAAGTAAAAATGCGTGTATAATTGAGCTATGATTTTGTTATTAACCTTTATAAATAATAGGGAAGAATGGTCTAAATCGGACCTATTTGCAGTTATTATTCTCTACAAAGCGTAAATAAAGTCAGATCATAAAACCAATGGTGCCGTTCGAAAGATCATTTAATTTCCTTCAGTTTTGCTTCAAACCATTTTGACGTATCTCTTACTTGTGTCGAATTATAATGAAAAATGTAAAAATGCATTTTTCGGTCCGATTTGGAACTCATAGTTCCAAATCGAACCTCTCCTATTTTTATGGACTTTTAGATAGAATTTTAAAATATTTTAATTAAATTTTGTTAGTTTGAATAAAAACGAGCAATTTAAGACTCAAAGATAAAAATACAGTTTATATTATCAGAATTAAAATCAATAAAAAATTCCATCAATCTGAGTCTGATGACACATGATATTTTATTGATTTAGTGTTCCTTAGACCAGATCTGGTCGGTCGATCACCAGTACTACAACCAAGCTGTAACAAACCTTTTTTCTTCGATAAATTAGCTGGCTTACTCGTTTTTTTTAGTGTTTTTTGTATATCTAGGTCCGATTTGCACATCTAAATTGAGGTCCAATTTGGACACGGGTTCTTTTGAACTATTGGAACAAATTTTACAATAAACCGCAAAAGTAATCACTAAACTCTTGATATTTTTGAATTCTACACACTTTAATTATCTTGAATCAATTACCATTTAAATTTTTAACATATTTTAAATAATGATTTCCTTTTTTAAAAAAATTTTCGCATAATAGCCGAAAATACATATTTGCATCTATTCTATGAACGTTATGACAGTACTGCCAAATTGCTGGTACACATGTTCGGTGTCTTACAAGAACTTTATATTATAAATAACACGCAAATCTGTTTAACCGTATTTATTTAAATTAAAAAGGTCCGATTTGGATTATTCTCCCATATATGTTTAGTCATATTCACATTTTTTCTAATTTCTTAGCATTCGATTATAACAGCTTTTTATAGAAGGAAATGCTACTTTTTTACTCCTATAACGAATTCTCTCTTCTTTATCATGGCACTGAGAGATTAAATTGAATAATTTATTCATTTACAGGCATATGTAATGCCTTATCCGGGTGATTGTAGTATGTATCAACAATGCGATGCAAGTGGTTGCTTTGTGATGCGCTGTGGTATAGGAACAGAATTTAATCCAGCTATAGGAACCTGTGATTATCCTCTAAGAGACCGTACAGGATGTAATAATCGTGGATGAGATTTATTTAGTTCACAAGCAATTATTATAAACATACAGAATTATTTTTAAACATTTTTCTCAGTCTCTCTCTCTCTTTCTCATTTCTGTTTAAATAATATACTTGTTACATTGTGTAAATAAAATTATAATACTAATTTAAATTGTGTTTATTCTATTTATTATTAAAACTCTATTGTTGCAATAAATAACACATTTGCAGCCTATACTAACAAGTTAGCCCCCCACTTTTTTTAATTCACTTATTTTGAGAATTGTGCTGAATTGTGCTAGGTTTGTGCTACATTGTGCTCGAATATTAATATCAAAATACGAAAAATACGTTAAAAAATTTAAAAAACCATATTTTAGGCCAGTTCCCCACTTTGCGATTTTCTCAATTTTTAAGGTTGTGCTACGTTGTGCTAATTAGTGCTAACATTGTGCTAAAGTGGTATTCTAAAATAATGATAACAAAAGATATGATAGGAAAACGATTTTTCACAAATCGGAATAAAAATAACGCTAACATCGTATCCGTCATTAAAATACCACAAAATTGCATATCTGAATTGAGGGGCTGGATTCAATAAGGGGATACGCGTGGATTTCGCGGAATAAGTATTGTCCGTAGGGCTAATTTTGGACATCGCTCTAATTTCAAATTTGACGATTGATTCTTGTAGAAAATTTCATAGCGCATTTTTTTGTCTTTAAATCAAATTTGTAATTTTTTTTGTTTTCAAGTTGTAAACAAAAAACGTAATTTTTTTAATAAAAAAATTTCAATAGATTTTTGTGTTCAACTCGCCATATCTCAGCCAAATATAAATATTTTTCTTTGAAATTTTAAGAGAATAAACTTCGATGTGTTTCTCGGAATATAAAGTATATAATAAGTTTTCGAAACATTTCACAGCCAAATGCCGAATTTTTCAAAATATTTCTTTCGAATTCGTAGTTTTATTCGATTACAAAAGTTATCATATGAATTTTCGATTTGTCAACTTTTACCGGTACTACAATTTAGTTTATTAGTTAAGGAAGTTTTTTGGAAAGTTTTAGCTCTTCAAATATTATGGTTGTAAAGTAATAACGATTTATATGTCGATCCGATTACGTAGCGCGCTGCGCGCAACGCGAAATTTCGATCCGTTTGCTTCGGCGAAACAAGGGTATCAATAATGTATCAAAGCATAATATATTTAAGGACTCCCGAAATCTTTTTCAACTTCTTAATTGTTTACAGTTACAAAATAAGAATTAGAGTATTATATCAATAAAAATTGTCAATAAAAATTGATTACAATGGCGTATTAATACTCTAATTCTTATTTTGTATCTGTAAACAAAGTGGGGAGCTGGCCTAAAATAGTTTTTTTTAATTTTTTAACGTATTTTTCGTATTTTGATATTAATATTCGAACACAATGTAGCACAAGCCTAGTACAATTCAGCACAATTCTCAAAATAAGTGAATTCAAAAAATGGGAGGCTAACTTAGTATAGGCCATAATATCTATTAAAAGTTCATTATATCAATGAATTTCAAGTCAATAAATGTCATTCATTGATACTATGAACAACATTTTTTTCAGTGTGAAAAGAAACTATTGATAACTATTAAGAACTATTCAGATTTTTGTAGTTACTATTCAGTTTTCATAGTTATTCGAATAGTAACTGTTTAAAATGTATCCGTTGCCAGAAATGCTTGATAGGGAGGGGTTCCGAAATACAATGCGTTACCAGAGAGAAGAAACCTGAGAGAGGACATGACGGCCTAAAACCTGTAACCGCAAAATGCTGCCGCGCACTACTGCCCTCTGAAGAAGTGGATGTAAACTACATGCCAAGATCCACTATTCTGAGGATAACGCATCTACTTTTCAAAACTGATATGGTAAGTAGATATTCGGTTAATTCGTATAATCGTATTCTCGCTACATAAAATGTGGATCAGAAATATTCTTCTCTGCAATTATATGTATGTTTACTTACATGCACGTGATGTTTATTATTTCGCTTAAAAGTGTATTAACATTAAAGTTGTATCACACCCATTTTTTTTACAAATGTGTTAAAATATATCGTGTTTATATTTTAAATAAGTTATATGTATACATATATGTAAGTTATTGTACTTCAAGCATTTTATTTTTATTAAATACATTTTTATAATTTATTTACTTTATTTGTTTATCATTTTCTTGTTACAATACTAAAATTTGAAAAGTATATAATGACAAAGTTAATTTAAACTTTTTTGTGTAAGTACTTTAATAAGTTTTAAAAATGCAAGTTTCATTGCAACGGAAAGATTAGGCGTTCTGTATAAACAAAAACGAATAATATATTTCGTGAACAAGAAAATAAATGAAAAGAAGAGTTGACGCGCCAAATTGGTTAATTATATGTGCTTGCATCGCAGTGAAACTTTATATGTAAATCATCTTGAATACTTAAAGTACTTATATAAAAAAGTTGAAATTTTCGTAATTACTTGTACACACGCGCGCGCGCGCGCGCACGCACGCACGCACGCATTTCCACATATCTCCAGATAAAAAAAATACTATTTTTTATTGAAATTATTATTTATAACACATTCTAAACTCTTGCTACAATTTTTTGTATTTCATATATATAATGTGTGTGTGTGTGTGTGTTTCTGCATGTATAATAAAAAGAAATAAAATTTCTAGTGAGTCAAACAACAATTAAATAGATGTAAACAATAATAATTTGTTATATTCCGGGAATTAATATTATTTTTGTGTGAAATTTAATTTATTTAAACCTGACAGTTTCCAAAAATTGGTCTCAGATGAGTAGCTATTTCACTCTCCTTTATTTCTTATAATATTATAAGTATGTAATACAATACTAAAAATTAATCGAAAATAATCTGCGGTAATGAAAAAAAAAGGAATATTATATAAAAGTTGATATCTAAATATATGTGGGCTTCGTTATATATTTATAACGCGCCGGAACTGTGTAGGTGAACAATAAATAGCTGTCCGTCGAGTACTAGAACTACATAATTGCTCGAATACGCAGCGTGGTTGATCAGACTAATTTTAAAATCTGCGCTTCTTACATACATTTTTTACATTTGAGACTGGTGGAGTTCAAGTCGTTGCAGTGTCAATTCCTTTTTACTGTCATATTTTATGAACTTAATTTTCATTTAATAATTTTTTATTGATTAATTTTTGTTATTTTTTAAGCAAATAATACTGAAAATAAATCCGTTTTAAAATTTTATGTCTTTTTAAATATCTTAATAATAAAAAGTATAAAATGTGATTTTGAGAATAATTTATCATCAAATTTGAACATAGAGCGCGTAAAAGAATGTGGATGAAAATTAACGTAAAAAACATTGAAAATGGCCGATACAATTAAATTATAGTAAAATATTAGAAAGAGATGAATGCGTGTGACTCGAGCGCGGTCAGCGGTCCGTTAGACAATGCCGTTGTCTGATGAATTAGATCGAAGCGTTATGCAATTAGATTTGGTATTCTTACCGAAATAGTAGAGGCAATGCTGTCACCATGAATTTGTTCTGTTACCTGTGGTTCCTCGTTTCGTCTGAGGTTCTCTGACTAAAAGGCTTCGTGAATTCGATTCTGCGAGGTTGGTCTTTCGTCTTGCGAATGAGTGATGCCGCAGTAGTTGTTTAATATGATATTTATTATAATATAAAAAGTAATCTAATAATAACTGAATATAAATGATATTCGCGGTTTTAGATTATACGCAAAATAAAATTATACACTATGACTTAGGATTAAGAATATGAGTTAGGATATGGATTGGAATATAGAATAAAATATGAATTAGAATATGGAATAAAATATGGATTAGAATATGGAATAGAATTAAGAGTAAGAGTTAGAGTTAGAATTACGGATATGGAACTTGAGGTTGAGTTAGTGGATGTGGAATTGGAATGGAATCTGAATGGAAGACTTCTTCCGTAAATCTTGACCTAGGTCAAGATTCTGAATTCTTTTGCGAGCTCTGCGCGCTCTTGTGCCCTTTTTAAGGCTTAGGTCCCTACCAGGATGTGTCTAGGAGTAGGGCGTTTAGAAGTGGGAATCGTTTTGGTGGTGGAAGGTTCAAAGGTGGTGGAAAGGTTAAGATTAATATGTGGGTAATGAAGGTGTCGGTAAGGAAGGTGTCGGTAATGAGGATGTTGGTAATGAAGATATGTTGGTAAGGCATGATGGTAAGGATGGTAAGAGGAAGAGTTACAATTAGTTTCTTAATGTTATAACTTAACTCTAAACGCATATAGCGCGTATACAAAAGGAAAAAGAAAAGAAGAAATATACGGGCCGGAGGGACGTAACAGTATGTAATACAATACTAAAAATTAATCGAAAATAATCTGCGGTAATGAAAAAAAAAGAAATATTATATATAAGTTGATATCTAAATATATGTGGGCTTTATTATATATTTATAACGCGCCGGAACTGTGTAGGTGAATAATAAGTAGCTGTCCGTCGAGTACTAGAATTACATAATTGCTCGAATACGCAGCGTGGTTGATCAGACTAATTGTAAAATCTGCGCTTCTTACATACATTTTTTACATTTGAGACTGGTGGAGTTCAAGTCGTTGCAGTGTTAATTCCTTTTTACTGTCATATTTTATAAACTTAATTTTCATTTAATAATTTTTTATTGATTAATTTTTGTTATTTTTTAAGCAAATAATACTTGTTAGAATAGATCGATGGGAAATCGTATATGTAATGCCATCTCTTGTTTTTATTTTTGTATACTCTCAAGTGTCTCACGACATTCAATCTGAGTCAGTCAGTCAGTCTATATCTGTCTCACGCGTAACCACGCGGCTATGTATTACACGAATATATTTCACAATAAAGCTAATTAAACATATAACGTGTGAAATTCAATCATCCCATCCCTGCGGTCTGACAGGTTATGGGCCCAGGATGCGCGTCGGTTGATTACAAATGCTCGGTATCCGGCAAATAACGAGAGCTGATCGTAATACTTTCGGACGACGAAAGCGAGTGCAAAAACGTGACCGTTAGGTGTGTCGAGCATGGCCGTGTCGAGCAACATACAGAGCATCGAGAAGCTCACCGATGAAAATTTTGAATCGTAGAAACTTCAAATGAGGAGTATTCTCATATGCAACGACTTATGGTCATACGTAAACGGTACGGAGGTAAAAACGGAAGGGAATCGCGCAGAATGGATGAAAAAGGATCAGAAAGCCTTAGCGTTAATTATGCTAAGCATGACGCGTGGTCAATTAAATCATATAAAGAAGGCGGAAACAGCACACGCAGCGTGGACAGAGCTTGAACGAATCTACGAATCAAAAGGTCCTGTCCGTAAAGCAACATTATACAAACAATTTCAAAGGCAAATGTAAATATAAGTTTGTAAGAAAATCTTTATAGATTGCAATATAACAATTTTTATATTATTTAAGACTTTTTTCAATAAGCAGAGTATTGCAAAAAATCGATAATTGCAATAATTGTAAATATTGTCACATAAAATTTCTATGTATTACAATAATTTTTTATTTTTTTCAATTATTAAGATATTGGAAAAATTTATTACTTTCTTCAATTGTCGGTTCATTGTATAAAAATATGTTTAATTAAATATTAGTACTTTTTGAAATTGCTGCCGTATTGTAAAAATTGATTTTATGCAATTGTCGATTTTATACAACTGTTGATTTTATGCAATAGTCGTGTATTGCTTAAATTGTGGTATACCTGTCGCAATAAATAAATTCCCTAGTAATCTTGGATACATTGGGCGCTGAATGCGCTCATTGACTACACTTTGCTACACTTGATCTAGTCTAGTTGGTTACACTGTCTGTAGTATAGGCGGGAATGACGGGATTTGTATAACCTTCTTTGCACCAAACACATTTTATAAACAATAAATTCCTACTACTCTGCTTTTTCTAATACTTTTGTAATACTGACATATGCCGGTTGCGTTTATTTGATAAATCTAGGATTCTATTCTCAGGTTTCCGATTTCTCTCTGCTTTTATATTACATGAAATATCAGTCATGTTGTTGGCGGGTAGTATAGATTTATTGAAAGTGAGAATAAAAGTGAGAAGTGCGACATTTTACAATATTCACAAAGGTAATTACAGAAATACGTTAATATTTTAAGGTTATTGAATTACAATATCTGTACATTTTATTCAAGGAATATCACCGATCATCACGATAAACTTTATGGTTAATAGCATTCGAAATGTATACTTATAAAGTAACTTTACCATCTTTGCTATGCCAATATCTATATTTATGAATAACAATATATAAGTATTCGTTTTGTAGTTTAGAGGACGATGAATAGTCGAAACAAATTTGCATTGTCGACTATTGCAAATTCAGTAAGGGAGGCTATTCGACAGCAACGATCTCAAATTATGCAAGCTACCAGGGAAAATTTTAGACCTTCATTTCAATTATCTGGAAGCCCAAGAGGTCGACCAAAACAATCAGTAAAAAAACGTACTCTTTTCTTATTACGTAGATCAAATGCTGATTACTATCCATGTGTGACTGAATGTGCTTACTTACAAGAAAATGGTTTCGGTAAGTTATTACACAATGGATGCATTTGGAAACGTTACCCGGCTATTCCTGTGTATTGTCTTATCCTTGTTTAACATTAGATGAACAAGGATAAAACGATACACAGAGGTACTCGAGTAACGTTTCCGAACGCAGCCAATATATTGTTATTAACAACAAAAACTCTTTTAATACGCGAATAAAATTATCTTATGGACTCTCCTGCTTTCAAACAATCAAATAATTCTTGATAACAGGGAACAAGTGAAAGTCAGTGTTGTTAATAGTACGCAATTAGATTATAATTTCGTGTAAATTTATATGTATCATGTATGTAGTCTCTCATAAACTGTGCGCCGAAATTTTTCTGGACTAAACGCTAATAAACTACCGCGGTACTATCACAAGTTAAATTGATTAACAATCTAACAATTTTTGATGCTCATGGTATCTTGGATCTTAATAATATTGAAAGACATATTAAGAATAGTTAAATTGATAATTATGTTGTGAAAAATATCAACTAATTTGGCGTTTCGTCCCAGTTCCCCACTACTGGACTCATTAGTAAGGCTTTATTAATAAGATCCAAGATGCCATGAGTATAAAAAGTTGTTAGATTGTTAATCAATTTAACTTGTGATAGTATCGCGGTAGTTTATTAGCGTTCAGTCCGGAAAAATTTCGGCGCGCAGTTCAAGAGACTACATATGTGGTACATAAATTTACACGAAATTATAATTTAATTGCGTACTATTAAGAACTGACTCTCATTTGCCCCCCATTATCAGGAATTATTTGATTCTTTTAATACGATTTTAATATAATTTATATTATTTTTAATTATACTCTTTTGATAAACTATAAAAATTTCTTATAATTTGCAGGTAAAAAAATTGTCGAATTTAAATTGAATTGGTCAACGACTAGAATCCAAAGATATATTTGTGAAATTTATTCAAGAGTGCAATTAGAATCGGTTGGATTTCGTTTTGGAAAATGCGCTAGAGACCAAAGAATAGCATTGTTAGCAGTGGATACATTAGAAGAATTACTGAATGAAGTGCCTAGAGGAACAATTATTATTATACCAAATAGAGATTTATCTTGTTCTGACTATACAATAACGGACGATGCGAGTGTTGATATGTTATACGAAAACTCATCAATAGAAGAATTGAGACATAACCGACACAGTAGACGTATCAGAAGGCAAACACAATTAAACTCTAGATAAGAATCAAGCAACAATGAATCAATGATAATCAACAATGATAATCAAGATATGCAGGATCACATTATGATAAATAGACAAATTATCAGAAGAGAATCTGTAGAGACACAATCAAATTCTCAATTACAAGAAATTAGCGATGAATCTGATGATGATTTCCGTAATGTTCAGAGTCAGGATAGATTATTTAACAGAAGAGGCTCTTATCAAAGTGATCAAAATCAAAGTAAGTTGCTGCATTTGTATATTTGGAAAATATAATAAATAGAAATTAAAATATCTTTGTTTTTGTTACATTAATTAAAGAAGATTTAATCAAATTTAAAGAAGAATATTAATATTAGTTTCTACATATAAAACGAGGAGGCACTTACTGCGCGATAGAAGATAACGCGATAGTCAATCAATTTACCGCTTTTTCGTAAAATTTTTGATTACCTGCGTTGTTTTTTTTATTACACAAGTGTTTCCATGTCCTGTATATAAGAATTATGCAAAGTTAATAACTTTTCTTTCTTTTACAGATGAATTTGCTCCAGATTTACTGAATTTGGATAATTTTTCGTATATTACAGAAGCAAATGAAGAATTTACCAGTCAAATTGATATTGAGTATCCAGAATTACCTATATATAATAACGGAGAAATAATTAGTATAGATATTGTAATCAAAAGAGAAAATGTTATCGAAGAAATGTTAGATTTATATAAAGATGAAACTGTAGCAAAAAAAGATAAAAGTTGCTTTTAAAGATGAATTAGGTATAGATTATGGTGGCTTAACAAAGGAATTATTTTCTGAAGTTTGGAAAAAAATTTTGCACGAATTCTTCAGAGGAGAGAATCGATCAGTCCCTTTCTTATCCTTATCAAAAATAAGGAAAGGTTTAGATGAAAACTTTTTAATAATTGATAGAATTTTAGCCCATACTATCATTTTAACAAAATCAATCCCAACAAATATATGTAAATCCATATATTTGAAACTAGGTTCTCTAGATAAAGAGGTAAAACAAGAAACGTTATTAGAAGATTTTTTTCACTTCTTAACACCAGTGGAACAAAAATTAATTTATAAAGCAAAGAATTCCTTTGAAGAATTAAGAGAGTCTGAAAGAGACATGTTATTAGACCTTTTTGCAAATTATGGACTACTAGAAAATCCAAAAAGATCACAAATAGAAGGTCAGCTTAGTATTATAGCAGAAAATGTTTTATGCATAGAAAGTCACAATTTTATTAAAAAAATTAAAGATGGAATTCCATTATTTTGTGAAAAATTTTTTACGGATTTGACTGAATCTAAAGTGAATTTTCTATTTGAACAACAGGCTGCTAATCCTAATAAAGTTGTAAATGTTTTAAAGACTGATCTAGAAGAATTAAACAATATTCAAACTCAAGTTTTTTAGTTCTTTAAAACATACATAAAAAATTTGACGCAAGAAAAACTTTCCAGACTATTACTATTTGTAACTGCATCATTACATTTGCCTGATAAAATAATCATAAATTGTAAAACTTCGGGTTTTCCTGTAGCCCATACATGTTCGAATACTCTTGAATTGCCAATAACTTATTCTTCTTATCAAGAATTAAAAACTCAATTTGATTCAATTTTAGAAGATGAAAATTCTTTTCAATATACTTCTTTGTAAAAGTATATTACAAAAATATATGTTACAAAATATGTTTTTATAAATTACTTTTAAACATGTTTTACCTTTTTTTAAAAAAAGAAAAAAACATACGCCAAGTGCATATAAAAGATACTGAACTTCTTGATCAAAAACAGATATGAGATAAATATAATTGACCAAGTGTATTCTTCATTACGCCAGTCACATAAGACAGACCGAAAGTGACTATAATTGTTAACTGGATTATAGTGAAGAAAGAACTTGGCGTGCTCGGGTCGCATTAATTGTGAACAGTATTCAGTGAAAACATTATTTCAACATAGTATTTGCATTATAAATTAAAATATAAAAATAACAGACATATTTATACAGATATATACGTATAATATATCAACAAAATTACCTTTTTAAAAAAAAGGAAAAAAAGGCGCCAAGTGTGTTAGCCTCACAAAATAAAATGAAATCTTTTTAAATTGCGCCAATTATGAAAGGAATATATTTTCTTGAAACATATATAACATACTTTATTTCAAAAAGTAAAAGTACAAAAAACTTGGCGCTGCTAGACCTCAAAATATACAATAATAAGATGGTTATTAAATAATTCCGAATATGAAAAATAATAAGAAATTAATAGAAAAAGAAATAAGGACTCGTTATATAAAAATAAACAATATGAAGAGTCAAGGGCGATATAAAAAAAAATAATAAGGTCTCTCTCTCTCTCTCTCTCTCTCTCTCTCTCTCTCTCTCTAGCAACGCCAAGTTTTTTGTACTTTTACTTTTTGAAATAAAGTAT